GTCATTTTTCGCGAAAAAAAATAATTTATTTGTCGCGACTAATAAATTGGTCGCCAAAGCAGGAAAATAATACACCTGTAATATTTAGCGAATTCATAATCAAAATAGGACGAATTCATTATCAAAACAGGTCTTATTATAAAATTTTCTATATCCAAGTTTCAACACATAACTCAGCAGCAGCAACATTGATTCCAAAAACAAGATGGAAAAAACAGGTCTTATTCTTCCAACACCCAATACATTGATCCAGAAGGTAGTAAGATGGAAAAAATACTAATTATAGAAGCAGGAATCACAATCAATTGATGATATTTAAGGACCAAACCACAGAAGAACTAACTAACAGCTAAGGAAATGAAAGCGGCCGAGAGTGTATTGCATACAAACCTTTAAATCTAGTAATTCAACTACACATGCGCATTCAACAACTTCAACCCCTGCACGTTCTGACCAAAAAAAATTAAATCAGTAACAATATATTCTGGTTTGCACGATATATATATATATATATATTTCCAGCAGCAGGGGCAGTATCAGTCGCTACACATGCATATATAATGCATACTATATGGTTTCGAAAATTTAATTGAAGAGGTATGCTCAATCAATAAAATACACAAGTATGCAACATCAAATTCCATATTAATTCAGTTTTGAGAAATAGGAGCAAAACATTCATTTTGTTAAATGGGCAAAATGCTTGATGAATTAAGAAGGAGAAAGTCTATAACAAACATATGGTAAATTTTGTTATTTGGCTAACCAAACAACCTAACCAACATGATTGACGCTGAACACCTTTGACTCAAGGTAAATTGGATAACAGCCTCTTCAATCCTTTTTTTTTTTTTTTAAAGGTTGGCATAGTATTTGGCCTTCACCCAGATCCAAATAGCCCAAGTTGTAGCCCTTGTCCAGGTAACCCTTCATTGGGTCCCTGTGTTCAATGACTAATAAACAGGTGGTTCGTTTTCTCACTACATATGGAATTGTTTATATCCATGAGTCAAAGCATTTTCCACATAAATTTTGTAAAATATAGGAAAAAGAAAAAGAGGACAATGCTTTTACTAGGGCTCATAAAGCTAATACAAATGATTTACAAGTGAGTACCCAGTAAATTCATTGCTGCACAGAGGGTTCCACCAGTGGCAATCAAATCATCAACCACCAAAGCACGTTCATCAGGCTCAACTGCTCCAACATGCATCTCTAGACAATCCGTTCCATATTCCAAGATATATTTTTCTGAAATAACTTCGTCTGTCCAAAACCACCCAAAAAAAAAATAAAAATAAAAACACACACACACACAACTTACTTGTCATTATGGTAAACTCTGAATAGCTATAAGAATTCGAAATTGTGATCCCACAAGACACATAATATTTATACCCACCATCACACATCAAAGGGAACATCAACAATGCATGCATGCACTTGCTAGTAGTGGTGGGCAGCTAAGTAATCATGATCAAGATGGTTTGATTGCAAAATATTTTGAAGCAAAGGGTTAAAGCAAGTTGGCAAATGGCAAACTGTGTAATGTATAGTACCATAACATGAAATATCTAGATAGACTTCAACTATATCGAAACAGAATAACTAAACAGGCAAACAACATTCTGTTGCACAACAGATACCAATAGATCAAAAAACAAAAAATTTGGACACAGTTTGTTAGTTCATGGTTGGTCAAGTCCAACAAATCTAGTTGAGATAGAGCTGATAGCTGTAACATTAAATGTCCAACATCATACGCTTTGCCAGTCATATGTCATAATATAATTCTAGAATATGCTATTAATCAGATTAAACAGAGATCTACAAAATAATCTTTAACAAGGTAATTCCTAAAGTTATGTATGCAGTTGTATTATCTAGATATTTACACATATTCTTCAGATTGTTAATTTGCATCCACTCATAAATAAACCAATCAAAAATCTGTATCCTATAAATTTAAATTCGTTCAACTATGCCCATCCAACCGAACCATTCATTACACTATAATCCTTGAGCTCCTTTGGTTGTTAAAGTCATTTTTTAATTTAGGCAGAGTAATTGTTCATATAATCCTTAAAGTCCTTTGGTTCCCAAGGCAGAGTAATTGTTCAAGATCCAAATGCGATACTGCTCATATTTCATGATGAAATGTAATGCTGCATAGGGAACAATCCGAAGGACACTAGCTCCATTTCCTCTAAAAGAGATAATAAACATGAGTTTAAACAACATCGTCAAGTTTTTTTTTTCACAAGCACTTCTTCATGAATGAATGAATTAGTGGCCCACAATCTTCTCACATATTAAGGCTACACTTCTTCATGTTCTAGAATTTTCATCTCTTCGTTGCATTTTTTGTGTCCTTTTGCTAGTGAATGTCACTGTGGTCTAGTCTCTTGTAGCTTAGGATGGAATTTTATGGGTGATTTCACTTGTAACCACTTGTATCAATTAAAAATTTGCTTTTTGAATGGTGGCTTTAGCTCCAACAAACGAAAACCATTAACTTCAAAATTATGGCCTCTGTAACTTATCAACATGTGTATGTATTTATTGCCCCTATAAAAATATGGATGATCTACATGATTCTTTGCATTGATGTGTTTGTTCCATGCTGTGAGAAAGATTATCAATGATGCCTAAGAACTATTTTACTTGTGCCTTTGACATTAGGTGTGAAATTGTTCATGTTGCTATTGATGAATGTTCATGTTTCACTAGAAATTTCTTCGACCAAAATTGCAGTAGCATGTGTAGCCAAGCCTAACTTTACAGAGTTGTACAAACATGAATATGTTCATTCTTTGCGTTAAAGCCAGAGAGTTGCTAATTACAAACATACTAAATGTGCTATTCACTCATTATGCTTGACATATTTTATATCCAGGCATATTCCTAGAGTAACCTGATAAAAATTATAGAAATTCGTAATGATGGATCATGGGATCAACCTTTGGTAAGTTACATCCATAACAGAGTACAATGCCTTGACATAACATTGTTTTTTGATTTTATGAAACAAGTCTGCCCAACTTATTGGGACTTGACCAACTAATCTAATCACACATTTCAACAATGAGACATCTTGAGTTCGGACATTTTTTTTTTTGATCAACTTGAGTTGGGACAATTGGGTGACACAACATAGTAGGAAACAGAATGAAAATATCTTTCTAATGTTACATATTACCATAGATTGCTATGATGGACTATATACAATTCTAAGATTTTTTGAGAAAGGTATTCTCTTGTTTGGATTCTTAAACCCCAATTTGCTGCTATGCTCTATGCTAGTCAGATTGTATTTATCTTACTCATTAACAAATTATCATTACATGCCAACAATAATAGACACCTTGAATTTGTTCCACAAAGAATTAATCTAATGATAGTAATGAATATATCTTCTCACAAATGTGGCATATTGACAGTGACTGCTAAAATTAGCTCCAAAGACTACAATTATGACTATTCTCTTTTATGTCATGCCTTAGATCCTACTGGAATTACAATTAATGTCAATACAAGCAAGATTTTAGATGGTGATGTAAATTAATGAAGAAAGAGGATCTAAAATTCAATAAAGTAAGATCATTGCCTTGTCACTTAGGAACATGAAGGAAGTAAACTATTTAAGAAATTGAACATGTAGATAGATATTGACAGTGAAAAATAAAAGAAATTGGAACATATCAATTTTCCTTGAGACCTTCAAGAGACAAAAGTCAAATCAGTTTGTAACAAAGTCTATGAAAGAAAATAGATAAACCCATTTGAAAAGAATACCCTAATGTTGCACATTTAATCATCTTAAGATTGCAGAAATGAAAGAGAGAGAAAGGTAATGTGGATTTTTTTTTTTTTGAACCCAAGCATAGAACTTTCCAAGAAATTTCTCACATAGGGTGTGTGTTCCTTAATTGTAAGTGCAAATTCCTCATAACATTAACATGCAATAATACAGTTTCTAAACATCGTCAGCCCACAAATCTCCTATTGGAATTTCTTAACCCCAATTCAAAACATGCCTAACACTATAGTCTATAGCCCAAGTTTATCCACTGACCTTTAGGTTGATCTCAACCAATGGAAACTGTAAATAAACCGTCTTGAACTCCCATATGAACAACACCATTCAAAGAACCAAATCTCAGCAAAAACTACTTCATCAAAACTCCTTCAAAAATAACAAAAAGATAACAGAGCATTGAACCTAATTGACAACATTACTGTAATTCAATCATTCGTATAATACATACACACACACTCACAGATATATATGTATGTATTATAAACACATATATACTAGTCTATAGATATATATATATATATATATAACAGAGAAGAAGAAGTTAAGATGTGAAAAAAGATGAAGTCAAAACCTTTACCAAGGATAGATTGGGAAAGAATCAGAGTTATTCATCATCGACACAAATGTTTAAAAACAAAAACCTAAAAATCTCTACACTACCAAAACATCGATAACACAAATGTTTCAAAACCCCAAAATCGAAACCATATGTCAATCGAACAAACTAGCCAAATACAAACTAATTGAATATAGATCCGAATAGTTTCATAATTGAAAATGAATAAAAACAATTGAGATAGAATGCAAAATCAAAATGAGTATTGTGTAGCCATGGAAAATTCCTTTGGACCCACCCGCATCTATGCGGTTTGGACCCGCCCGCATCTATGCGGTTTAGGACGGTTTGCGGTTCGGTTTGGACCCGCCCACATTTATGTGGTTTGGGAAAAAGTCAACCCGCAACCGCCCGCAATGCGGTTTGCGGTTTGTACGGATAGGGTTCGCGGATGTGCGGGCGGTTGCGGGCGGTTTGCGGATTGAAATTTTTTTCCAAAAAATTATTTTTGAACCTTTTTTTTTTCTTTCCCATTTTGTCAATCTTTATTTTGAACAGCTACAGCAAGCAACAAAGTTTGGTTCCTCCTCAAAAGATTCTTTTTGTCATTAAGGATGTTAATTATTAAAGAGAATGAGAGGGGAAAGAAACTATTAGAATCAAAGTAAATTTCAGGGCTAGGATAAATGAAGTAATCCTGTGTTTAGCATTGTCATACCTTTGTATCAGTTCTGAATAGTACATGGCCATGCTCATGTCAACTCTGCCTCCATACTTGCCACTTGATTTCACAACTGTAAGAAGAATCTGTGAAGACCCACCAACCAATATTGTATTAGACAGTACTGAAAGGGGACACTTCTAAGTGGAAAAATTATTAGATCCTATCAGAGTATTATGGTAGTTGTTTATGTGGTATCTCAATAAACGTGAAATTGCAATATTATTTAATAAAAGTGACTCAAGAAGTCTATTGGTAAAAACAAAAATTATTATGTGATTGAAATTGCAATACTATTTGTACACTGTCGATGAAATATTTAGATTTCTTGAAATGATTTGGACTATAAATATGGTATTTTCTTTTGCTAATGAGAAATCTCACTACAATAGAAAAACTCTAAATACAATGCAGAGAGATTCAATGTCAATGGGACAAAAAAATTTGATGTGAACAATACAATGCATAATATCATACATACCTCTTTAAAATTGCCGTTGGTCTTGTGGGCAATGTCTTCCTCAATCTCAAAATTATAGCGAAAGCTGTAGCCCTGCTTGATTGGATGGAGCTCCGAAGAAGACCGAGTACTCACCACCTCTATTACAGTGCTGAGATTTACTCTCCATCCCCACAGTGCCTCTCTCACTATCTCTGCATCTATCTCTGAATCAAATTAAATCAAAAAATAATTCCAACAGATTCAGATTTAATTACTAACAGATTCAGATCAAACAAAATTACAGATTCAAATTTAATTTATACAGATTCAGATTCCAAAATTACTAACAGATTCAGATCAGAAGAGACCTTGAAGCTAACAACATATTCTGGGTAAATATGAGTATTCATATTCATATTCCATACTATGTACTGTCTTGGAGTATGAATATCATCGATTCCACTATCAAAGTCCTCACCATTGGCACATAACACACAATCAGAAATGAACAAATAAACTAAGAATCATAGATCTAAAAAAAAAAAAATCACCATTGACACAGAAATGAACAAAAAATCACCATTGACAAACAATCTTAGTCATACAGTGACACAGATTTGAATAACACAAAAAAATCAGAGATCGGAGAGGAAAGAGAGACAGAGACAGCGACATAGAGATCTATACCTGCGAGGTCGATCGGTGCGATGAGAGTATGAGGTCGATCGGTCGATCTTGCGATGAGTGAGAGTCGATCTCTTGCGAGGTTGATCGGCCCAGATGAGTGATGAGATGAGAGTGAGAGAGTGAGTGTAAGAGACTGATCAGATGAGAGTGAGATGAGAGTAAGAGACTGAAAAACGAGAGAGAGTGTGAGATGAGAGCTGCGTAATGTGTTTTTGAGTTTAGGGATTTTTTCCTTTGTTTGGGTATAGATGAAGTGAAGTGAAAGGTCCAGATCTTCTTGAAAAAAAAAAAAAAAAAAAAAAAAAAAAAAAAAAAGAGGTTATGCGGGCGGGTTGGTCGGGTGCGGTTCAAACCCACAACCCGCCCGCAACCCGAAAATTAAAAATATTTCAAACCGCACCCTACCCTATTGTATTTGCGAAACCGTCTATACGCGTACGGGTAGGGCGGGTTGTGCGGGTCGGATGACCCTATGCCCAGCCCTAGCCTGAGGTAGTGAGGTGTAAGGAAAAATTGAAAAAAATATATATATATATTTCCCCCCTCCATCTTTCAAATTTTTCCCCAAACTTTTGGCGACCAAACTCTCAAATTAGTCGCAAAAACAGGTTATTTCGCCGACAAATTGTTTTAGTCGCCAAATCTCAATCAACGGCGACTAAAATATTAGTCGCTAAAAGTAGTAATTTGGCGACTACTTTTTCTTGGTTGCTGAAAATAAATTTTTCGCGACCAAATTTTTGGTCGCCAAAAAATATGTGACCTTCCGCAACCAAATTTGTAGTTGGTTGGAAAAAGTATACCACTTTCTGCGACCAACATATTTTTTGGTCGCCAAAATATAACCTTCTGCGACCAATAATATTTGGTCGCCAAAAATAATGATCATTCGCGACTAATTAATATTTGGTCGCCAAATGTCATTTTTTTGCGACAAAAATTTTTTTGGTCGGCAAAAGTGGTCGCAAAATGTGTAAATTCTTGTAGTGAAATCAAGGGTTGGACTGGAAATCGTAGTCCGGTTTCTATTATGGACAAAAGGGTGAAGGGTACAAAGCCTGCTTTGCCCCAGGGTAGGGTATTTTGTTTGGCTAGGTTGAGGTGGACATCGTCAGGGATATTGTAGTCCTTACGAAATTCGGCTAGGCCTCCAGGGGTTTCTACCAAAAATCTATATTTACCCATTTGTTTTATAAGTTATTAATAAATTAGTTCGGTCGGAAGAATGGGCTCAGTAGTTCGGTTGAGCGCGCAGAAGGGTGCCTGGGCAACCTAAGTCTGCAAAGTGGAAAACAAAGGTGTTAAGCACAGATCGTAGACCGTGCTACAAAATCAAAGCAAAGATAAAAAATCCTACTTCGGCCTATGGGGGATGCTATATCTCGGTTCAGCTTGGTAGCTCGGATTGAGCATAGGGTTCGCGAGATCGGCTTTTGTATAAGGTTGGTTATCTCGGTTTGAACTATAGGTTTTGTTACTTCGGTTGAGCCCCTAGGGGCAGCTTTCTGAGTTTGGTTTAGAAACTAAGAAAGCTGGCTTAGCCCCAAGGCTTAGCTCGGTTGAAGGCCGAGGTTCCTAGTTTACTGAATTCGAACTTCGTTCGGTGAGATTATCTCGGCTAAAGTGAATCAGGAGTTGGTAACTTACTGAAACTACTGTTATATCTACGAGTTCTAGTTCGGTTATTGTCTGAATTGATCTACATATATAGCACAAACAGTGTCCTAGTTCGGTTGGGACAAGTTTTTGGGATCAAAATTAGTGTTCTACAGGTTTCATAGATTCAAGTGGTTCTTATGAAGTTTTTTCCAGAAAAGTACAGAGCAAAATGAAATGGAAAGATATGTTTTGCAAAAATACAGAAAGAAAAATATGAAAACAAAGAGAGATGTACAATACTAACCAGATGAGGAAGCAGGAGCTGAAGATGGAAGCAAAACACAGCAGTTCACAAACTCTTTCAGAAAGACGAAGAATAATGAAGAACACGAGCTCAGAAGACTGAAGAAGTAGTAGAGGCACAGAGAGGGAGAAGTTGCAAAATATGGCAAAAATGAAGAGGCTCGTTTTTAGGTAAAAGAAAAAAGGACGGGACTGTTCAAATTTCACGAAGTACGAAGACGGCGTGACAGCCGTCCTCAGTCAATCAGAGCGTGCCACGTGTCCTGGGAAGGAGAAACGATTCAGTCACTGTGATTGAAGAGACGTTTTGACCGGACAAGCAGAGCCCGGTATAAGATTAGCTCGGCTGGAAAGGCTTAAAAACTTCGACTTGACTGGCAAAGGTAATCCCAATCATGCTGTGCAGATGGAATTAAGGGGCAATTGAGAAGGTAATTTTGGTGAAAATTGGGCCGAGCTATGAGATGGACATTATGGCCCCGACGTATGTAAAAAATTGCCACAAAAAAAATATTTTTAGCGACAATTTTACCAAGGTTTATTTTCAATAGGACTTGATAGGAATTAAGTCTGACTATTAGGACCTATTGGTAATTTACCAAAATATAATTAGTAGTCTACCCAAATATTCTCCATACTCATCTATCCAAAAATATATAATCCTTTAAAAAATATAACAAGTGCCAACTAGTCTTGTACAATTCACGTTGTTACACGAGTTCATCCATCTATACAAAAGAAAAAGATAAAAAATTGTCAAATAATGTTTTTATGAAAATATTTGCACATCAAATGATTGTAAAATTGGACAAAATAAAAAGTTCCATGGAAAGTAAAGGTAACATGAACAAGAAAGTAAATGAAGTAATTAAAATGATACTTTTCACCTTTTTTCCTCACATTTTTGTCTCTAATTCTCTAACAATGCTTCCTAGCAATGTGACGCTTGCTCTCACAATTTTGTTTAATCTAGGCCGAGGTGACTGTGATGATCTCGGGACTGTTTGGGGGCCGTTTTCAATTTTCACCCCCAAATGGCTCGTTTTTGCATTTTTTCTCCGCATTTTATTTTCTAATTCTCTAACTGTATGTCCTATCAATGCGCTGCTTGCTCTTACAAGTTTGTTTAATCTAGGCCGAAGTGATTGTTATGATCTCGTGGTTGTTTAGGCCTGTTTCCAATTTTCACCCCCAAACAGCCTGGTTTTGCCTTTTTTTTCTCACATTTTCTTGTCTAAATCTCTAACCGTGTGTCCTATCGATGCGCCGCTTCCTCTCACAAGTTTGTTTAATCTAGTCCGAGATGAACGTGATGATCTCGGGGCTGTTTAGGGGTTGTTTCCAATTTTCGCCCCCAAATGCCATCCTTCAAAATAAAAAACAAACCAAAATAGAAGTGATCAAACCAAAATAGAGAGAGGACCCTCTGCAGCAGCAGAGCAAATGATCACCTGCCCCAAACTATTAGACCATAACAGTAGCAGCAGTAGAGCAAAGTTTGGATAGTAAAAACGTAAGGCTGATTACTTCTATTTGTGTGGATCCTTATATTTACTCTTGAAATTTAACTTGAGAAGATATATTGCATATTGATGTTCTGTTTGATCTATTGTTTGTTATGTTTGAACAAATAATTTATAATTAGATCAAACACCAAGAACTTACAACAGAAACATTACCTATAAACTCATTAACATACTTCCAATTGCAAGGTAGTGATTTCCCTCTCAATACCTGAAGCAATATAAAAGTCCAACTAACTACCATTACCAATTATACATAGGAAATATGTTTTTCTCATTATGTAGTAGGCTCAACAAAAATATTGAAAAAGAATACAAATAAATAGGAGTTTCATTTCTCTCCTATATTTGCTACAAAAGGTTTCAAACTTTCAACGATAATTAAATATGAAACACATCACTACTTTTTAAATGCAATTGCTAGCTTATGAGTTTAGAAACAAAATCATAATTGTGTATCCAAGTGAAATTTTAGAAATATTATCATTATATTACCTAGTTGTAGAATCCTTTATAAAATGATGTTAGTTTTAGGGTTTGTTTTCATTTGCTACCAAATTTTCAGCTTGTCTTATCTTCCCACATTGGTGTTTCACGTTGTCTTAAAATGAGGCAAAACTGTACTCATTTGTGTGGAAAAAAAATGATAAGTTCCTTATACTCCCAAGAAAAGGCTTGAACTATTAAATGATCATGAAGTCATCAAGTTGTGTGGGACTGGTATGGTTCACGCTTCAATATAAAACAAAACAAGAAATAAATTGCTTTTAGCATTCATGAGAGAAGCTTATTGTTCTTTGTCGCTTCCACGCTGGTTGAAGGTTCGCTAGAGGAATACCTTGTGAATTAACTATGTTTATAAGTTGAAGGTAAAGTACTTCAAATCTCCATCAATATATTTATTATTTAGCAGGAGAGATCAAGCCTCTACATCAACCAAAAAAAACCTTGAATCTAAGACAAAAATCACAACACATTTACTCGTTTCCCAAAAATCAAACTCCTACAGCATTAAAAAACTGCTTAATATATTTTTTTTCAAACATAACACTTCAATCAATGTAACATACAAAAAACTCCTTAATATACTTTTTCCAAACATAACACTCCAATGTAACACTAGAAAATCACACTAATAGAATTGTAGATTTCAACACTCGACAGTTAATACCAAAAAGAATCTTTTACACCTCATCTTTCCATTCTCATCCCAAAAACGAATCTGTAACGCCCAGAAAATTTTAACATCAATCGATATTCATTGTAAGAGAGGGTGTGATCCTACAACCTTTACATCATCGATCACTAAAGTTTGTACAAAAGTAGTTCCACATGCGAATTATACACTCAATGACTTCAAATACATGAACATATAGCATGTAGAACATCAAGTTAAAAGAAATAAACAAAATGCCCTCAAGGGCTTACACCTTCTAAGGCTTATGCCCGGTTACGCAAAAATGGTCTCTCGGACCCAAATAGTTATAGCCCTTGGCTAACAAAATATACCACAACAAAATAAGAGCCCTATGCTCCCACCACATACGTTCGCACCCTAATTTGGCAGAATCACCATGTCTTTTCCTGCACCAAAATCTCATAGGGTGGGCATAAAGCCCAGTAGAGAATTCTTAACAAAGTATATATGTTTATACAAGTCTCAAGGTATGATATACATATTCCATGTTATGCTCTTTTTAAAAAAATCATATTTCCTCATCTTTTGAAAACCATCATACTCAATGATATCATGATATCTTCAACAAATTCAAAGTTTATCAATTTAATTCAAGGGGCAGTAAATACGACTCAGATAATCCCAAGGTTGGTGTCTACAAGTAGGCATAACTAGCACTACCAAAACCCCACTTTACCGGTTGCTAATTGAAAAGGAATCCTCCACGTGTGTTTTCGGTCTTTCACCCCGGACACTCAGCCAACTTAATCAATTTCATCTACACCTCATATCCGGATTTACCAACGTATTTACCCAAAACATTTCAATAAATCTCATTTTCATTTTTACAATATTTCATTTTCAATGCAAGTTTCAAATCCCAATTCTATGTTTATAACAAACAAAGTATTGAAAGGTTAATGGAATTATTATCCACGCAATGAAAGAATTAACCATGCGATGCAACATGCTTCCATTCACAACACTTCTACACAAATGTTCCATTTGTGATCAAAATTTCCATTTTTCAATTATTCCAGGCAAGGTTCTCATAATAATCACAACACTCATTTCCCTTTTTGAAGCTATTCCTCATCATAGCCATAGATTCATCTAAGTTTTTCAATGACTAGCCAACAATCTCATGCTTCTTACAATCCTCAATAATTTATCCATTTCATGGCTACATTACATTTTGGGCAATAACCTCCCAAAATCCCCAATTCTCATATTCCAAAAAAGAAAATTTACCTTTTGCCAAGTAAAAACAAGAAATTTTCCAATAATTCTTTTATTTTAACATGGTGATATATAAACACTCACAAATTTCCAACATTTATCACGAAGTCTCAAATTTCTAGGTTTTTGTCCAAAACTAAACATTTCTTCATCTTTCACGAGAAACCTTTTTCCCAAAGCCCCCATTTCCATAAATATAGTCAAGTTCTTTAGTATTGTAAGAGAAACAAGAGGTAAACCCATTTGTGAAATCACCATGAGGCAAAACTGTACTCATTTGTGTGGAAAAAAAATGATAAGTTCATTATACTCCCAAGAAAAGACTTGAACTATTAAATGATCATGAAGTCATCAAGTTGTGTGGGACTGGTATGGTTCACGCTTCAATATAAAACAAAACAAGAAATAAATTGCTTTTAGCATTCATGAGAGTAGCTTATTGTTCTTTGTCGCTTCCACGCTGGTTGAAGGTTCGCTAGAGGAATACCTTGTGAATTAACTCTGTTTATAAGTTGAAGGTAAAGTACTTCAAATCTCCATCAATATATTTATTATTTAGCAGGACAGATCAAGCCTCTGCATCAACCAAAAAAAACCTTGAATCTAAGACAAAAATCACAACACATTTACTCGTTTCCCAAAAATCAAACTCCTACAGCATTAAAAAACTGCTTAATATATTTTTTTTCAAACATAACACTTCAATCAATGTAACATACAAAAAACTCCTTAATATACTTTTTCCAAACATAACACTCTAATATAGCACTCCAATGTAACACTAGAAAATCACACTAATAGAATTGTAGATTTCAACACTCGACAGTTAATACCAAAAAGAATCTTTTACACCTCATCTTTCCATTCTCATCCCAAAAACGAATCTGTAACGCCCAGAAAATTTTAACATCAATCGACATTCATTATAAGAGAGGGTGTGATCCTACAACCTTTACATCATCGATCACTAAAGTTTGTACAAAAATAGTTCCACATGTGAATTATACACTCAATGACTTCAAATACATGAACCTATAGCATGTAGAACATCAAGTTAAAAGAAATAAACAAAATGCCCTCAAGGGCTTACACCTTCTAAGGTTTATGCCTGGTTACGCAAAAATGGTCTCTCGGACCCAAATAGTTATAGCCCTTGGCTAACAAAATATACCACAACAAAATAAGAGCCCTATGCTCCCACCACATACGTTCGCACCCTAATTTGGCAGAATCACCATGTCTTTTCCTGCACCAAAATCTCATAGGGTGGGCATAAAGCCCAGTAGAGAATTCTTAACAAAGTATATATGTTTATACAAGTCTCAAGGTATGATATACATATTCCATGTTATGCTCTTTTTAAAAAAATCATATTTCCTCATCTTTTGAAAACCATCATACTCAATGATATCATGATATCTTCAACAAATTCAAAGTTTATCAATTTAATTCAAGGGGCAGTAAATACGACTCAGATAATCCCAAGGTTGGTGTCTACAAGTAGGCATAACTAGCACTACCAAAACCCCACATTACCGGTTGCTAATTGGAAAGGAATCCTCCACGTGTGTTTTCGGTCTTTCACCCCGGACACTCAGCCAACTTAATCAATTTCATCTACACCTCATATCCGGATTTACCAACGTATTTACCCCAAAACATTTCAATAAATCTCATTTTCATTTTTACAATATTTCATTTTCAATGCAAGTTTCAAATCCCAATTCTATGTTTATAACAAACAAAGTATTGAAAGGTTAATGGAATTATTATCCACGCAATGAAAGAATTAACCATGCGATGCAACATGCTTCCATTCACAACACTTCTACACAAATGTTCCATTTGTGATCAAAATTTCCATTTTTCAATTATTCCAGGCAAGGTTCTCATAATAATCACAACACTCATTTCCCTTTTTGAAGCTATTCCTCATCATAGCCATAGATTCATCTAAGTTTTTCAATGACTAGCCAACAATCTCATGCTTCTTACAATCCTCAATAATTTATCCATTTCATGGCTACATTACATTTTGGGCAATAACCTCCCAAAATCCCCAATTCTCATATTCCAAAAAAGAAAATTTACCTTTTGCCAAGTAAAAACAAGAAATTTTCCAATAATTCTTTTATTTTAACATGGTGATATATAAACACTCACAAATTTCCAACATTTATCACGAAGTCTCAAATTTCTAGGTTTTTGTCCAAAACTAAACATTTCTTCATCTATTATCATTATATTACCTAGTTGTAGAATCCTTTATAAAATGATGTCAGTTTTAGGGTTTGTTTTCATTTGCTATGAAATTTTCAGCTTGTCTTATCTTCCCACATTGGTGTTTCACGTTGTCTTAAAATGAGGCAAAACTGTACTCATTTGTGTGGAAAAAAAATGATAAGTTCCTTATACTCCCAAGAAAAGACTTGAACTATTAAATGATCATGAAGTCATCAAGTTGTGTGGGACTGGTATGGTTCACGCTTCAATATAAAACAAAACAAGAAATAAATTGCTTTTAGCATTCATGAGAGAAGCTTATTGTTCTTTGTCGCTTCCACGCTGGTTGAAGGTTCGCTAGAGGAATACCTTGTGAATTAACTCTGTTTATAAGTTGAAGGTAAAGTACTTCAAATCTTCATCAATATATTTATTATTTAGCAGGAGAGATCAAGCCTCTACATCAACCAAAAAAAACCTTGAATCTAAGACAAAAACCACAACACATTTACTCGTTTCCCAAAAATCAAACTCCTACAGCATTAAAAAACTGCTTAATATATTTTTTTTCAAACATAACACTTCAATCAATGTAACATACAAAAAACTCCTTAATATACTTTTTCCAAACATAATACTCTAATATAACACTCCAATGTAACACTAGAAAATCACACTAATAGAATTGTAGATTTCAACACTCGACAGTTAATACCAAAAAGAATCTTTTACACCTCATCTTTCCATTCTCATCCCAAAAACGAATCTGTAACGTCCAGAAAATTTTAACATCAATCGACATTCATTATAAGAGAGGGTGTGATCCTACAACCTTTACATCATCGATCACTAAAGTTTGTACAAAAATAGTTCCACATGTGAATTATACACTCAATGACTTCAAATACATGAACCTATAGCATGTAGAACATCAAGTTAAAAGAAATAAACAAAATGCCCTCAAGGGCTTACACCTTCTAAGGTTTATGCCTGGTTACGCAAAAATGGTCTCTCGGACCCAAATAGTTATAGCCCTTGGCTAACAAAATATACCACAACAAAATAAGAGCCCTATGCTCCCACCACATACGTTCGCACCCTAATTTGGCAGAATCACCATGTCTTTTCCTGCACCAAAATCTCATAGGGTGGGCATAAAGCCCAGTAGAGAATTCTTAACAAAGTATATATGTTTATACAAGTCTCAAGGTATGATATACATATTCCATGTTATGCTCTTTTTAAAAAAATCATATTTCCTCATCTTTTGAAAACCATCATACTCAATGATATCATGATATCTTCAACAAATTCAAAGTTTATCAATTTAATTCAAGGGGCAGTAAATACGACTCAGATAATCCCAAGGTTGGTGTCTACAAGTAGGCATAACTAGCACTACCAAAACCCCACATTACCGGTTGCTAATTGGAAAGGAATCCTCCACGTGTGTTTTCGGTCTTTCACCCCGGACACTCAGCCAACTTAATCAATTTCATCTACACCTCATATCCGGATTTACCAACGTATTTACCCAAAACATTTCAATAAATCTCATTTTCATTTTTACAATATTTCATTTTCAATGCAAGTTTCAAATCCCAATTCTATGTTTATAACAAACAAAGTATTGAAAGGTTAATGGAATTATTATCCACGCAATGAAAGAATTAACCATGCGATGCAACATGCTTCCATTCACAACACTTCTACACAAATGTTCCATTTGTGATCAGAATTTCCATTTTTCAATTATTCCAGGCAAGGTTCTCATAATAATCACAACACTCATTTCCCTTTTTGAAGCTATTCCTCATCATAGCCATAGATTCATCTAAGTTTTTCAATGACTAGCCAACAATCTCATGCTTCTTACAATCCTCAATAATTTATCCATTTCATGGCTACATTACATTTTGGGCAATAACCTCCCAAAATCCCCAATTCTCATATTCCAAAAAAGAAAATTTACCTTTTGCCAAGTAAAAACAAGAAATTTTCCAATAATTCTTTTATTTTAACATGGTGATATATAAACACTCACAAATTTCCAACATTTATCACGAAGTCTCAAATTTCTAGGTTTTTGTCCAAAACTAAACATTTCTTCATCTTTCACGAGAAACCTTTTTCCCAAAGCCCCCATTTCCATAAATATAGTCAAGTTCTTTAGTATTGTAAGAGAAACAAGAGGTAAACCCATTTGTGAAATCACCACAACACATAAACCAAAACCAAATTCGTATACTACCCAAAGGAGTTCCAAATCAACATAATCTTGTAAAAACATATATATAACTCAAAGAAATTCCCTACCTCAAGTTTTTTGGAGAAAAAAGAGATGAAAACCCCAAAATCAACGGTGACAAAACCCGACCTTCACCGTACACAATGTAGCCCTTGAGGAGTTCTTTAACTTTGATAAAGGGACTAAGGGCAAAACTTTAATGGATCTAGAGAAATCAAAATTTTGATCCAATTTGGTGTAGAGAAATATAGAGAGAAGGGAGAGAAAATAGTTTTTTAGAGAGAGAGATATATATCAAAAGTAAGGAACATTCAGCCCAAAGAGGAGAAATAGAGAAATTTTCGGACTTCACCTACCACCGCATGTGTGGCACCTATGCCCTCACGTGCCGAGCGTGCCTTCCGCACGTGCGGCCTTCATCCCCGCACGTACGGCCCTTTCCCTCGCACTTCCACTCCCGCACCTACATATATTGCAGTGTGCTCTTCAACCCTCCCATGTTTTCCGCATATGTGGCCTCACTTCCCCCACGTGTCGCCCCTCTCCAGCATGTGCGGCCCAAGGCCCCCCGTGCGGTGGTCCTTCAACCCAGAATTTTCTCGGCTCAATCCCAAACACTCTGGAACCGACCCCGCACCCTCTGAAACAAGTGAAACTCAACACCGAAATAAACAAGAACAAGAATTTGAGAAAAACTTTCGAACACAACAAACGC